CAGGCCTGCGGGATCCCGGGCCGGGCCGCCCCCTGCAGCGAGCGGCCGCCGGATTGGTCGGGCCATGACGTCCGCGTGGCGTCAGCGATTTTGCCCGCATGCGCGATGACGCACGCCAACGTCACTCCCTCCAGCCCCGCCCCCGGCGCCGCCGGTCGCTGAGTGGCCGGAGGCGTGCGTCCGGAGTCCGCCGCGAAACGGGCTGCTGTCGGCGCGATGGCCGTCGCCTTGCCGGAAGTCGTAGAGGAGCTCCTGCGCGAGATGGGCGCGGCGGCGCGGGAGTGCGAGCGAAGTACGGACCGTGGTCGTGCGTGGCTGCGGCGTGGGCCCTGCGGGGCGTGGAGGCGGGGGTGGGTGGGTCCGAGCGTCTAAGTGCGGCGTTGGGCTCCGCGCTGTCAGTGTAAAAATTAAAAAGCGAAATAGTGAAATTTTGGTCAGTGAAAATCAAATCCACTCAACAAGGGTCCCCTCCTCAGGGAGCTGACAGGCCGGGGGCGCAACGTGCTTGGAGAGCCGCTGGGCGCACGTGACAAGGGCCGGGAGGTAGAAGGGCAGAAGCCTTCCAAGAGTTGTAAAAAAGCGAAGGTTTGAATTTTTAAACCTAACACTTTTCTCAGATCCTAATGTTAATTTTCAAATTAGTACTCTCGTGCACTTTGTTCAGAAAGTAAATATTTTGGGGTCACAGACTCGCTGCAACGCACACGCAGTTCCTGGAGTAAACCTTTACGGTGTGAAAGTACCTTTTTCCTTCTGACCAGCAGAAGGCGCTGTGTGCCTGCGTTCATCAGGATCGCTGCGAAAGGGGCGAGGCTCTGAAACAAGGAAAACACCGTTCCTAATGAAAATGATTGACTAACTAGAACTGCTCTTCCCATGTAGAGGTAGCTACTCTGTAAATAACCACATAAAGTCTCAGAACTGCCTTTGCCTATTGATTTTGATGCCTTTCGTGCACTTGAACATTTTCAGTTACTGTTTTTGAGACTGAGAAATGTAAGCCAGCTTTTATTTCCTCATTTCAGTCAGAAGTAGTAAGGTTTAACAATGCGTAAAATATTAGGCCAGCTAGGTATTCAAACATGTTCTGGTTTCAGAAAGGGTGGGAGAAAACCCCATCTGTTGTCAGCTCACACAGTATGTCTTCGACTCACGTGATAGCCTGAGGATTTTGAATGCTATTACTTTACAGAACCAGAGTCAGAACTGGTGTCTATCAAGAGTGGATTAATCCATATATTAACAATCTTGGGGAGGCCCAGTAGGTGCCCTTGGTATCCATGGCTCAGACACAGGGACAACTGGCATTGGTTCACTGTTTTCTGCATTTTCTAAATCTTTTTTTCCCCAGGAAAATAGCTTTGTTTAGACTGTAAGATGGAGAATGAGTTATTACATGGAGCTAAGGATAGAGATAGGGAGTCAGAGATCATCAACCAAACAGACTGTATTTCCCAGCAGCAGTTAGTACAATCAATAAAAGACTTGCTGGGAAATATATTTAAATCACCCAAGTGTGCCACACTTACAAAAAAGGGACAGGTTTTCCATTATAATGAAATTTCCCCAAAATCCCCCAACTGTAAGTATTAAGAAAATGAAAAAAAAATCACATTTTACAGATCTTGAGTTTTTCTTCAGCATTTAGCTCACAGATCTCACCATCTTCAAAAATGGCTCCTTTAAAAAAAAAAAAAGCTGGGCCTGGTGGCTCATGCCTGTAATCCCAGCACTTGGGCAGCTGAGGCAGGAGGAATATTGCGAGTTCGAGACCAGCCTGGGCCACAAAGTGAGCTCAAGGCACCCCGAACTGCACAGCGAGACCCTGTCTCAAAAAGACAAAAAACAATGGCTCCTTGCTACTCTTCAGCTATAAGATCTATCAATTAGGGAGAAGTTGGCCTTTGCTATCCCCTGGCAGTCCTCTTCCCATTTTCCCCAGCCAGTGAGGACTAAATAGCAGGATAAGGCTCAGGAAGGGATGGTTGGGCCACAGGGCTAATTTCCCCAAAACAGCTCATGGTAGCTGAAGCTTGATGGGAGAGCAGAACTGGTGAGACCTGAGGGAAGGGTCCAGGCCCTCTACTCAGTCAGTCACTGTTAGAAGAGGAATGCTTGCCATGCTTATGGAGTTTGTGCATCTTTTAATGAGCTTTCTTTATTTTCTTCTGCATCTTCTTGTCCATCACCATCCCAGGAGCCAAAAGGTTCACAAGAGGCATGCCAGGGGCCCGCGGTGGATGTGGAGGAGGATAGGTTGAGGGTTGTCCTGGGTTCTCTGGCTGGGGCACAGGATAACAGGGCCCACATGGAGAAAAAGCTGGATTTTCCTGGGGAGCTTCTGAGGGACAGGCCTGGGCAGGAAAAAGGCTGGATTGACAGGTGGTAGATGTGGTAGACACCCAAGATGGGAACCTTCAGAGCACCAATGTTGGTTAGATACGGGTTTGACCTTACATTGCAATCCCACATGTTGAGGTGTTTGCCTCATCCTTTCCACTGTGCGTAGGCTTGATCTGTCCTCTCCAGTCTCTGCATTTTCAAAATCTTGTTTTAGGTAGTCACACGCCCTTCCTAACTCTGATTCCTCAGCAGTAGTTTGTTTAGATCACGATTCTAAATTTACACTTGTATGATGGCGTATCCGATGCTCACAGCTGAGCCTTGTAGGAAGCTGTGATTACTATTCCTTTCCTGTGTAACTTTTTGGTTTCCCTGGAGTTATAACTACCATAGTTTGGTTTGCTTGTTTTGTTTTCTATATATTTATCCCTAATTCAACATCAAATTCTTTCCCAGTACTTTTTTTTTTCTTTTTTTTGGTGCTGGGACTCAGACTCAGGACCTTGCACTTGCCAGGCAGGCACTTGTGCCCCTGAGCTATATCCCCAGACCCCATGCCAGTGTTCTAAATATCTACTCAAAATGTTCAGATGGATGAGGTTTGTATCAGTTGAATTTTCTTGAAATCTCTCCTAAAGCCCACTGGCTTGCCTGCTATGCCCTGGCTGATCTTTTGGCTGTCTCCTGAGATTTCTTCCTCCCTTCACTGATATTATCCTGAAAATTCTTTTACCTAAGTTCGGTCTTATGTTTAGTATATCCAACAATTTTACTTTCTTGGTTTCCTACCTTACTTTATGGAGCACATACTCTAGTAGCTTCCTCAACAAGGGGGCATGAGATGGTACTTTTGAGGCTTTGCATGTCTGAAAAAGCTTTTTCTGCCTTCACACTTAATTGATAGGTTGGCTAAGTATTAAATTATATGTTGGAAATAATATTTCTTCAGACATCTCAAAGCATTATTCTACCTTCTAGCATCTCATGTTGCTCCTGATTTTTTTGTACGTGACTTATTTTTTCTGGAAATTTGGATTACATTTGTCCCTCAGTACCTGTAGAGGATTGGTTGAAGGACCTTGTGTGGATATCACTGATGCTCAAGTTCCTTATATAAAATAGTACATAACCTGCATACATCTTCCTGTATACTTAAAATCTCTGGATTACTCATAACACATAGTATAATGCAAATGCTGTGTAAATAGGTATTAGACTGTATGGGTTAGGAAATAATGACCAGAAAAAGGACATAGTTTTGTTTGGGGTTTTGTTTTGTTTGCTTGTTTTTGGCATGAGGTTGGTTGAATATGCAGATGTGGTGCTCATGGATTGCAAGGGCCAACTGTATCTTCTCCGTAATCAGTGTTCCAGATCTTCTGATGAGGTTTGTTTTTGTTTTTTCATCCTAACACATGGGGACTCATGTGAACCACTTCAAGCTAGAAATTTTCTTGGGAAATTTTCTAGGCTTGATGAGTTCCCTCCATCTCTTTTCTCTGTTGTTGTATTCCTGTTACTCACTTACTGAATGTCCTTTATTATCCCTCTCAGTGACTTACCCACCCCACTATATTTCTTTTTTATTTACTCTATTTCTTGTGAACTTTCTTCAGTTATATCTTCCTGATTTTCTATTGCATTTTTAATTTCTACTGCCATATGTAATTTACAGCTTTTTTTACTTGATTCCTGTATTGTATCTCAGGCCTGTTTTATGAGTGCATTAGCTTGTTTTTCTATGATGATATTAATAAAAGAGGTTTGGATTTTTCTTCCGCCATTTTTCTCTGACTGCTCCCTTCTGTTTGTTTTGTTCTGTGTATTTTTCCCTTTGTTGTCTGGTTATCCTTGGTTGCCTAGTCATATTTAAGGGTGGAAGGCTTTGATTGTGGAGGAGCTTACAGATGGCCTGTGTCACTGTAATTCTCATTAGGCTATTCAGTTAGAGAATCCACTGCAGTGTCATTCCTCTTGGGTTGTTCAGGTTCCCAGCAGAACCCAGATCCTGCCTAGAGGGTGAAAGCCTTCTTGTATTACAAGAGCTGTGTTGGGGAAGACAGCAAGAAGTCCCACTATTTTTCATGTGACACTCTTAGTGCCACCATACCTAGTATGCCCAGATAGTGTATACTTGAACATCTCCAGAAACATGCCTATTCTTTTGCCAGAATGAGTGCAGCAGTAATATACAGCTGAGGAGGGCAGCTGGGGTCCAAATGAGTTCAAGCCCAGCCTGAACAACATAGTGAGACCCTGTGTCAAAAAAAAACCCAAAACAAAACAAAAAAAATCTTATTTTAGTGTCCTTGCCCTATCCTGGCTTCCAGAGCTATCTGGTGCCACCAATTTCTGAAGGTTTCTTTAGTTGAGCCTATAGTGTGGGGGTAGGTACAGAGTGTGTGTCGGGGGAGGTACATTCTGGAATATCAGTCAAGATGGTAGCTTAAGGTTTCATTTTTCTCAAGTCTTATAAATTATTTTCCTCTCTTCGATAGCTTCCAAAGTATTTTAACTTGTTGTTTCTCTCTGTCCTCCTCCTTGGGCATTTATACCTTTACCTATTTATATAAGTGGTACTGAAGCTTATACCCAAGGCCTTTGCACTGAGCTACATCCCTAGCCATTTATTTATTTATTTTGAGACAAGGCTCACTAATTTGAATTTGTGATCCTCCTGCCTCAGCTTCCCAGAGTGCTGCAATTGCAGGCATATGCCACTAACTATGGCTTATACCTTTAAAAGAATCCTTCTATTGTTGTTTTAGTGGGATTTGAGAAAGGAATAAAATTAGATGTATAGGTCAGGTTAACAATCTTACAGAGAAATCTTTTTGGTTATAGTTTTTTTTTAAAGATTTTTTTATATCTATGGTCACTATCTTAACATGGTTAATCTTTTTTCCATTCTCATTTTACAGTTCCTGATGACCATCTTTTATCGTAAGTACACACCCTAGACAGTACACAGTTTCTGATGACCATCTTTTATCGTAAGTACACACCCAAGACACACTCTTGCTGTACAGTTCAGTTGTGTTTGATTTTTTTTTTAACCATTAGTATATTTTAAGATCTAAATCTTTTAAAGAGAAATTCTTGGTTTTTAAAAATAGTCTTACTAAACTAGGAACAATTTTTTAACATGGTGGTTAAAAATCTTTCAAATGAATGGCAACATCATATTGAACAGCACACATTACTGCTGTGTTGTCCTATTTGCTGGTCTTGTTTAACACTGTTGTAGAAATTGTAACTATTACAGTAGCACTTGGAAAGAAATACAAGTATAGCTATCTTCAAGGAAAGACAGTTATTTGCAGATGACATCACTACTTTAAAAACAAGATAATAAATAAAAACAATAAAAATACTAAAATAAGAAAACATTGTATTCCACAAAAATAAAAAAAAATTATATTCTCAATAGCAACAAAAAAGTGAAAGCTACCTAGAAATGACACTTAATTGCATATTTTTTATAAGGATTGTATATTAGATGAAAAATAAATTACTATTTTAAAAGCAAAGAAAATGCAAATAGCCAAAAAATTGGGGGGAAATGAGAAATCTTATTAGTGACCATTAAAAATACAAGTTAAGGTAATTCTTCATCTATAAAACCAGCAGCCACAGCAAAAATGTTGTCAGGAATATAGTGAAAGAGGTAAATGATACCTTTTTGGTAGGAAGGTAAATTGGAAGATTACCTGGCAACAGACAATAAAGCTTTAAAACATATATGTTCTTTTTTTTTTTTTTTTTTTTTTTTTTTTTCTAAAGACACACTCTTGCTGTACAGTTCAGGCTGCCCTTGAACTCACTATATTTCCCTGGCTAGCCTCGAACTGGTGCCTGTCACCCTGCCTCAGCCTCCCAAATGCTGAGATTACAGGCATGTGCTACCATGCCCAACCATAAAACATACATATTCTTTGGCCCACTTTCAAGAATGTATTCCAAGAAAGTAATCATATGTGTTCATAAAGATTTTACAGTGAACATATTCATCTAGTTTGGTTTATGGCAGCAACAAAACAAAACAAGCTGGAAATAAACCTATCCAAAATAGTTTAGGAAAATAAAACCAATTGCTCTCTACAGTGGAAATCTTTGTTGCCATTAAAAGTGCTGTAACAGAAAAACATTTAATGCAGTCAAGAGATGTTCACAGTAGGTTATAAAGTGGAAAAAGCAGGTTTAAAAGGTTTTTAAAGTTAACTGTTATTATCTGATTGATAAAGTCCTAACCAAGTTTTCTTTTTTTGTTCATTATATTGTCATGTTTACTATTAAAAACTCAAAAACACTCTTTCTTGTCCCCCCAAACTTTTGTACATGAGACTAGTTCATAGGAAATGAAGTAATATGCTTGTTATATTTTAAGATTTATAGAACAATCTCATATGTATATTCACACATTATGTAGATATATATAAATATATTCACACATCCTGTATACAATGAAATACATGAACATTAATAGGAAAGAAACAAGTACATGTTATTGGAGCTGGAGATGTAGCCAGTGGTAGAGGAGATGCTTACACTAGTCTGAGGCTCTACGTTCAATCACAAACCAAAGGAAGGAAGGGAGAGAAGGAAGAAACAATGCATGTGATTGCCAAAGAGGTGAAAGGAAGGTGGGAAGAAATATAAGGAAGCACTACAAAAAAAGTATAAAGAGGACTTTTTATCTATAATAGTTTATTCCTTTTATTTACAAAACCAAGAACATTTGAAATGAGTGAACAAGATTACATTTATTAGTTCAGGGGAGTAATTGAGCCCATAGGTTTTCCCATATTTATTTTCATTTATTCCAAATTAAAATGCATTTTTTAAAAAAGCCGAGGGGATGGAGTATATAGCTCAGTAGAGAGTGCTTGCCTAGCATACATGAAGCTCTGGGCCCAACACACAGTGCTGTAAAAAAAATTGATGAGGATGGTGATCCTTTGGGTGTAGTGACTGAGTGACTGAGAATCAGCCCTTTTAATCCAAAGCCTTCCTGTTTCCCAGGCTGAAGTTTGTCTTTGGCTCATCAGCTGTCCAGGCCTTGGATCTAGTTGATCGACAGTCCGTTACTTTAATCTCATCACCCAGTGGAAGGCGAGTTTACCAGGTAGAAGGCTGGGGTTGAGGGTTTGTGAGTAGGGGATGCTCTCAACAGAAACCCCTTAGGGGCCAGGGATGTAGCTCAGTGACACAAGCGCCTGCCTGGGAAGTGCAAGGTCCTGAGTTCTATCCCTGGTACCAAAAAAAAAAAAAGGACAAAACCCCTTAGGACAGAAGGTCTTCATGAATCTCTGGAAGCTGATAATCAGCTTGAAGTATTTCCTGGACTATTGGAAAGCTTTTGGCCCACCTTAGTAAAATTAACATATTAGTAATTCATTTTACATTAACAAAAAGTATTTATGGCATACAAAAATTGATGTTTTGTGGGGTGACTAAATCAGGCTGTTAACATATCCACTACCTCACATACTTATTTTGTGTATGTGTGTTGTGAGAATACTTAGTATCTGCTCTCTTAGAAACTTTGAAGTATATAATATATTGTCATTAATGATAGTCACCATATTGGACAATAGATCTCCTGAACTACTCCTCTTGCCTACCTGAAACTTTGTACCCTTTAACAGCATCTCCCTAACCTCCCCTTTCTTGCTCAGTCCCCTGGTAACCACTCCCTCTGCTTCTATGAGTTTGACCATTTTAAATTTCACATCTAAGTGAGATCATGCAATATTTTGTCTTTCTCTACCCAGCTTATTTCACTGAACAAAATATCCTTAGGCACTTAAGTAATTAAAGTAAGACAAATATGATCTGTTAGCTCTGCCTAATAATTGTATAGAACCAATGTGTGGGGAGGCTCTTTTCTCAAGTCTCATGAGTCAACTTTTGTTCTCTTCTTCTTGATAGTAGGGGCACCGCTCCCAATGAATTTATTGATATTTTCATCTCCTTCATAATCTCTTGCTTAGAGAGAACAGCCAGACTGCATTTTGAGGTCCTTCTGTTAGGGTAAACCGAAGCACCATTGAGACCACCAAGGGAGGCAGAACTTAAGCAACATGGGAGGATTTATTACAAACTGGGTGTGGCCAGGCCAAGGGTAAGAAGACCATTGACCCAGAGCAAGGGGTAAGAGTAGTTTAGGTAGAGGAGGGGGGCATTGCTGAAGGGGGTGTAAAATTTTGGGTGTATGAGTAGGGGGTCTGGGGCTGGCTGACAGGATGGTGTTGGGTACAGGGGATGCTGGCAGGCACAGCATGTTACTTGTGGTTTTTCGAGGAATCACTCTCTGCAGGTGGAACTGTGTGGAGCAGCTACTGGCTGGTTGAGCTGCATGTGGAAGCGGTTAGCTTCCTGTTAATGCTGTGCACCTGCAGGTGTGAATAACTGATCTGCTTGGGGAGTTTTTCCTCTCCTAGCTGGATGGGGGTCTAGTTCAGAGACCTGACACCTTCCATATGCTTAGAATGAATGATCTATTAGAAATGAGCTTTCAACATTGTTGTTGAGAAGTATTTATTAAGGGTCAGGCTGCTGAATGCAGGCAATCTGTCTGGGCCTTAGTTTTGCCCCCCTGGAACTTACACAATAGATGGATAGATTTATGAAGTGACTTCTTAGCAGACTCTGAATTACAGTACTTTGATGTATTATTGATAATTCTTACCAACAACCCTACAAATTATTTCTTCTATGGGTAACTGAAATGCAGGAAAGTAATGTAACAATCAAATCTGGCTGTTTGTTTTATAATCTGAGACTAGGATAACAATTATTTGTAAATAATTTGCTAAACTAACTGCCTACTCCCCCAGGTTAACTATATGAGATATAGTGGTACATGCAGCTGGGGTTGAGGTAAGAGAATCTTATGAATGAGATTAAAATATTGGCAGTGAGGTCCAAAGTTTTGTGTCTGAGTAAGAAGGGGTAAAAAAGAAGTCATCATCCATTGTCTGTTGAGGCCTTCCTGAAGACCAGCATGGAGGAAATTTTTCATTGTTTGAATTTGGGTCATTTTATAATGAATTTCTCAGAGTTAAGAACATGTCAGTTAACTCTCATTGAGTGAATTTGTTAGTTAATTCATAGGGAGTGAATGATTTGAGAGCAAAGCCTGCTTTGACAGAGGTACCTTTGTTTAGTGAACTTGTCATTCTATACTGTAGTATGACTTCTTTGATCTGGCAAAATCATCACAGTGTTTCTTACTAAGGAAAATGGAATAGTGTTGGATGCTACAATTATAAATTTTGTATGATATTTTCCTACTCAAAATAGATTGCCTGGTAGAAAAATTTCCTCCTGGTAGGCTTACAGATAAATAATCAGTCACTGAATTTATTCTTTGTATCTGAGGAAGTGTTTCTGTTTTCTTTCCTGGTATTTTATTTTTTGTGTAACTGAAATACCCAAAACTACAGGGCCCTTAAGCTTTTTCCTCATGTCTTAGTTTGGGGATTTTAGTTTCCATTCTATTATCAGCGTAACACTTGAGCTGAGCGAGCAGATTTTTAGCTGTTCTCAAGTTCTTTGCTGTGGTTATCAATTAAAATCTTAAAGATCTTACTTAAGGTTTATTTTCATTATTGTTGGCTTTTTGTTCATCCTAGAGGTCAGTGTAACTTGTTTAGTTTTTGTCATTCACATCCAGTATCATATTACATTCCTTTATTAGTCATAAAAATGCTTAGAATTGTGGCTGTCAGCGTGGACCCTGAATTAAATGAGACTGTAGAAATCTTAAACACCCTCAAGTTAACCTTAATGGTTGTATTGTATAGTAATATAGTAAGAATTTGGCTTAATTCAATGGGTTGTATAAGATGATAAAAGTTGAGTCAGAAACTGCATGATACCTAGTTTGTTACCTTTCCATAAGTCAATCTTTATTACATAGGTCAGCCTAGTATTTCACTGTCCTCCATGTGGAATATCTACTTATTATAAAGTCACCATTTTGTTGCTGTCATCTGAGCTGCTTTATAGAAACTTTTTGCTCACTTAAAAAAGGAGGATATTTCAATCAGGAAAGGCTAAGTTGTGCTGTGGTAACAATGACCCTGAAAACTTAAAGGCTTACAAAAACAAAGTTTCATATTCATTCGTGCCACATACCATGAGGAGTTAACTGTAGATCTGCTCCAAAGTACTGTCATTCAAAAGTCCCAGTTAGTGAAACAACTCCTTTGTGGAACAATATGGAACTCATGGAAGAAAGAAAAGAGGTCATGATATGCTACATTATGCTACAATTTTCAACATCTGTGCTGACTAAAGGCAGGTCACATAGTCAATCTGTATTCAGTAGTACAGGAATGTATAATCCTTTTTCCAGAGAGAGGCACCAAATACAGGAAACAATAAATAGGTAAGCCTACTACTATGAAGTATCCTAAGAGGCCTGGAGAAGTCATAAAATAAGACTGTATCCGTGAATGAATAACCATCTAGGTGGGTCACCCTGAAATCACAGCAGACTTCCTTTAAGTGAGGTTCCTGTGAGTTCAGTCATGGCCTGAGTACTGTAGCCTCCTTCCTGCATATTTTTAAAAATATCATTTCTTCTGAGAATAAACATTCCAGACTCTGAGTGGAAGAACTCAGAGCCATTCCTGTAAGAGGAGGTCATTTTTCTATTAAAGGGTAAAGGAACTGAATTAAATCATTCCTAAGGTTAATTTCCAGTTCTAAACATTTCTAACTTAGATTTTTGCCTGTTAGGTTCAATAGTTGTCTACTGCTGGATAAGGAGGAAACAAATTCAAAATTTACTTTCTTTACACTACTTACTGACTCAGGCAGTTGAACATTTTACTTTGAGTCTTTGGCAACCTATAAAAGGATCAGGCAAGGGAGCCCCTGTGGAATTTTACCCTGTCTCTAAGTCACCAGGCATCTATTCAGCAAAGTCCAGGGAGCACTGTGATGGATATAAGAACCATCCACTGGGTCACTGAAGTGAGGGCAAAATCTCATAGGCTTAGGCTTGTTTAAATCTAAAGAGAAAAAAAACACAGGAAATAACAAAAGAAAAAAATTTAACATTTTATTCATTGGTAATAGTGTGTGGAGACCCAAGAATTATTCATGTCACTGTTGGATAGTGGTGATTTTCTTTAGGATTAAAGAGGAAACCGAATACTTTAGTGCTCAGTTTACCTCTTCCAGGCACACTAGAGAAGTTTTTCCTTTGATACTTGGAGGTATAGGATATATGTTCATAACACTTCAGGGCCTTGTGATAGTTAATGTATAAGCTGTGATTCATCATTACCTAACTTAAACTGAGGCTAAAATCTTTAATGGATACAATAGGCATCTTCTTACCCAACCATTAGCCATCCCTAGAAATCTAGCAACTCCTAAGAAAGTCTTTCTGATTTGGTCAGAAATTGTACCAAGATGGCTGCATCAAGTACTGAATATGTGACAAACAGAAGCACAACACTTGGATCTACTATTTCTTCTATTTAAAGCCTTAATCTGCTTCTTTAGTCTCAGGGGTGGGCTGTTATGATTTAGATCTAGAATGTCTCCCCAAAAGTCTCAAGTACTCAGAAGTGTGGGGGATTTTGTTTGTTTTATTTTGTTTCATTTGGAAGGTGAGTGGATCATGGGGTATGAGCTATATTAATCAGTGCATTAATTTGTTGATGAGTTCATAGTTGAATGTGTTGTTAGAAGGTGAGACCTGGTAAGAGGCAGAGCACTGGTGGTGTGATCTGGAAGGGCATATTCTCCCTGGCTCCTCCCCACTCTATGCTTGCTAGCTGCCATGTAGTGAACAGTTTTCTTCAAGCATGCCATTCTGCTGTGGCATTTTCTGCTTGCTTCCAGCCAACCATGGACTGAGCCTAGTGAAACTGTGAACCACAGTTAACCTCTACTTTAAGTTGTGGGTGTCAGGTATTTGTACAGTAACAGTAAAGTGACTAATACAGAAAATTGATATGCAAGTGGATCCATTTCTGTGACTGTAGGTGGCCATGTGTTCAGAAGCATTGGAACTGGTTTACAGTAGGAAGGAGTTTGGAGATGTGGGCTACAGAAGCCCTCAAACAGTGATGGTGAACCTTTTAGAGCTTTCAATAATACAAACGGACAAACAGCCCTCTGCGGCACGTGCGTAGTAGGTTCACCACCACTGTTCTAGAGCATTATGAGCAGTGCTTTGAGGTACAATACCAGTCAGAGCTCAGAAGACCAGAATGCTAATAGGAATATAGCCTACAGTAAGGGCCAGACTCAGAAGGTTTCAATTGGTAACAAGGACTCCATTGGTAGTTGGACTAGAAACCATGCGTATTATACTCGAGCAGAAAGTATGCCTAAATTTACCTATGTCCTGAGACTTTGAGGGAGACTGATATTAAAGGTGGCAGACTAATCTTGTTTATTAAATTTCAAAGCAGCACAGTGTTTAGGCTATGGCATGGATACTTCTGGCTGTTTGCGGTTAGATCTACATTGAGAAGAGCAAACGGCAGCGCTGAATAATTTGAAAAGTTTGCAGTTTCACCAGAAAGGAAGTGCCTGCAAAGTTGGACCAAAGGAGAGTGTGGTTCCTGAAATGATAAGCATAAAAAAGAAGTCAACTAATTTGTACATGGATAAAAGGAAAGATACCTTTGGGTATCTCAGAAATCAGCAAGATTTCCACCCATCACAGGCTCAAGGGTACAAAACTGTTACAATATCATTTGAAAAAAGAGCCCCTAGGCCCTCTACCCAAAAGGGACCACCTAGAAATTTGTTTCCCAAGATTTTTTTCATAGTGCTGAGCCATCCAGGTACACAGAGGTCTCTGAAGTTATGATCCAAGGGGGCTTGGCTGCACCCACCAGAGGCAGACCTCAGCATGATCCATGTAAGCTGGTTTTCCAGGAATGCACAGTGCAAGAGTTGTGAGACCACAGAGGCTTCTGTCAAGATTTGAGAAGGTCTGGGAGACCAGGCAGTGTGCCTCTAAGAGAGCAGTATGTGAAGTTGTGAGGTTGAAGCCAAAAGTGTAGTGGAGTTGGAGATGCCAGAAATGTGGAGCATCTGCTGAAGAAAACCACAATGAGCAGAGCCAGCCCAAGAGAAAAGCCATGTGGGCTGCCAGCTCTCAAGACCATGGAACAGTGCTGCCCAAGCTCTTTGGAGCTCACATCTCACCACCTTGTCCTCTGGATGCCAGACATGGACCTACAGTATTTAATGTTTGCCCTGCTGGGTTTCAGTCTTGCTTTAGTCCCGTTTTCTCCTTTTTGGAATGAGAATGTTTGAACTGTCTTTTTGATTGTACCACTAAATGTTGGGAAGTTTAACTTTTTAATTTTTTGAGGCTCACAGCTAAGACTTTTCCTTGAGTCTCAGAGGAGACTTCAGACTTGGACTGAAACTGTTAAGTCTTTGGTGACTCATATAGATGGACTAAATACAGTTTACATAATGAGACAGATCTGAGCCTTTGGGGGACCAGGGGTAGAATGTTATGGTTTAGATCTAGAATGTCCACCAAAAGTCTCATGTGCTCAGAGGTGAGGTTTTTTCGGAAAGGTGACTGGATCATGAGGGTACTGTGCTTATCAATGGATTAATCCATTGACAAGTCCAAAGCTGAATGTCCTTACAGGAGACGGGGCCTGGTCAGAAGAGGAGGTGTGACTTGGAAAGGTGCACTCGTGCTCAGCTCTGCCCCCTCTCTGCTTGCTGGTTGCCATGCTGTTAGCTGTTTTCCTCAACCATAGCATTTCTGCTCTGGAGCCAGGTGACTATGGACTAAACCCACTGAAACTGTAAATCAAAATAAATCTCTCCTCCTCTAGGTTGGAGGTATTAGGTATTTTGTCTCAGTGATAGAAAAGTGACCAATACAGGGAGAAAGAGTAAAGAGTCCTGGAAATGCTGATAATATAACAACAACAATGATGATGATGATGTTTTGGCTTTTTCATTGAAATTGCCATCTTAAAGCCTAATTTGAAGCTCCTGTAGTAATGTGTAAGTTGCAGTTCATGCAAAATAATCCTTGGGATGTTTCTACTTCCCTTAGGTACTAATAATAATCTTATACCTCTAGTCTGGAAATCAAGTCTAGAGTGAAGCTCTTTACTAGTTAGTTCTCAGTCACTATAACACATACCTGAGATAAATCACCTTAAAAAGAGGAAAGGTTTATTTTGCTTCATTGTTACAGAGGTTTCAGTCTAGACCCTGTTGCTTTGGACCTGTGGCAGCACAGTACATCATGATCGGTGCACCTATTTACTTCATGGGGTCTAAAAGCAAAGAAAGAAGCAAAGGCTGGGATCCCATATCCCATTCAAGGGCATACCCCAGTGACCTAACTTCCTCCTACTAAGCCCTTACCTCTCAAAAGGTTCTACTACCTCGAAGTAGCACCACAGGCTGGGTACAAAGTCTTCAGGGCCTTGGGGAATATTCAAGATCCAGACTGTAGCAAGCCCCCAACAAAAAGTGTTTGGCTACTTGGTACAGAGATTTCTCCAACAAATTTATCCAACCAGACCAGAGAGAAATTTTTCTGTCCCTTTTTCTCTCCCTTGTGTCCCTCTTGACTGCCACCAACGCAATTTGTTCCTGGTCTGGGCCTCATACCAGCCCCTCATGTATCTGTATCCTCCTTCCGTCCTGCTGAATGAGTAGAAGGATTTGGACTTGCTCCTTTTCCTGAGTCCTCCATCCTGAGCAGCTGAATCATCCCTTCTGCAAGATTGTTTGCTTTATTATTCTCCCTACTCAAAAATGCTTTTAAAAAGCCCTTTTCTACTTTGTTCTTCCTGGGCCTTACTCCTGCCCCACCATTCACCCTTTACCCGATTTTATATTCTCTTTGGGTATGTGGTAGAAGCTTTAGAAATTTACACATATGCTGCAAATGACCAAAGGTTAAGGAACCCCACAATAAAATGTAGATAAGAAATGCTTTTCGTAGTCAGCCCAATCACTAGGCATAGGACCAAAATGGCTTGTGTGGAAGGTTGAACTAGGCTGAAATTCAATTCCATTGTCTGAAGGCCTAAAGAGCAGAGCAGAGATAAGGAAGAGTCTGCCTGCTAGGGAGAAGAGAAGTTGGGTTTTCTCTTTTGTGTAAAGTCTTACTGCAGTTTTTTCCAGTATAATATGCAGAGCAACTCTGACTCATTAAATGGCAAAGTCAAGGGAAAGAAGTGGTACCTAGAAGTACCCATTTTGAGGTCTGATCCTATCTGTGCTTTTCTTTCCAGGTACTTGGAAGTTCTGGCAAAACATACACTTGTTTGGCTTCTTGTCATTACTGCTCATGTCCTGCATTTGCCTTCTCAGTACTACGGAAGAGTGACAGCCTACTGGTAAGGATGGGGAAGGCTCTTGCCACAATAGGTTAGGACAGAAACTGTTAGCCTATATTTCACAGTTTAAGGGTTGCACAAAATGGTCATTTTACTGCAAATTGAAACAGTAGTTTATTGTTCTTGTCTTCAGTCATCTCTTCTGGGTTTAGCTTCCCAAAATGCAGTGTCATTTTTAGAACATCAGTTTCCCGCTTTCTTATTTAAAAGACTACGGATGAAGCTTTGGGGAGGTCAGCAGGGTATTCTGAAAGTTGGTACTGGGGGATTAGGTGACTGAATAAAAATATGAACTAAATTGGATACTGGCAATTTCACATACCTTCAACTGCAGCCATGAGATGTGTCCACCCACAGCCCACGGGACAGCCTGACACCGTACTTAACCTTCATAAGAGGCAGGACTACTTTGCCTATCCCTTTCCCTGTCAGCTTTTGCCAATTTCACCACAGTCCTGAGTATCAGATAAGGACACATTTATACACTCTTTATTCCAATGGGAAAGGTACTGCCTTCCTCAGAGCAGGTCATTACATCTTAAGCTTTGCCAAAGAAGAACATAAGAGTCTGCCGTATGCATCTCATTTATACTGTGAACTTCTTAAACATTTGGGAGGTAGGGTCCGGATCTGGTGTCCCATTAATGGGAGGTCATATTCATAACTGGTGTCCTCTAAGTGTATTTCACCTACAAAATGATAGGACTGATCTGGGACCTCTTCAAGATTCAGAGCTGAGCTCTGTGACATAAAGTCCAGCAAAGTCATCTCGCCAGAGCTGTGTACAGGCCAATATATGTGAAAGCTCCCCCTTCTAACCCTCACCCTGGAAGTATGAGGGAAACAGACTGTAGGCTCTGACCATACTGTAAAAATGGGATTGTCACCTATTTTTATGGGTTGGCTCTCCAATTTAATGAGAGAATCTGAGAAGCACTGAGCAGAATAGACCCTTGAGGAGTGTTAGCCATTGCTATGATAGCTTTCCAAGGGCAAGGAAGAAACTGACTGAAACCACAGCAGACTCTCTCACTTCATGTTACTGAGAAGACCTGGTTAGACTGGCTGAGTTTGGCCCTGCCTGTCCCTAACAGGTTCATATGTTTTATATTCCAGTGCAAGCACCTCTTGGCAGTTTATCTTAGTCAGGTTATGAGGACCTGTCAGCAACTAAGTGTTTCAGACAAGCAACTGACTGACATATTGATGGAGAAGAAATAAGAAGCATAAATGTTTCCGATGGTGCGTCATTATCTTTCAAAATAGAAATCTCATCAGGAAATACATGTACCAGGTCATGCTGTACAAGGAAGAAAGATGAAATGGATCTTCCAGATACTTCTTCCTACTGTCCGTTTTCCCTTCTGGACTGCCAGAGGGACCCTGGGTGGCAGCTGTGAACTGTGGAGGCCATGCATTTGGTTGGAAGCCTTGTGCAGCCTTCTCATGAAAAACCTGAACCAGCCTCTAAGCCTTTTGAGTGAAAAATGTCTGAGTAGAATCAAGTGTGGTAGAGTCAAATAAAACCTAATCCATGTTGTATACACAATTGGAGACTTATGTAACCGAATTACTAAGTTTTAAAAGGTTAGGACAACTGACCAAACTGAACAAGAGTAAGTTTAATTGAATAGATGTTGGGTCTTTTCTTTGGATCCATAAAATTTTTCAGCAGCAGTAAGATATTAGGGCAGAGATATGACTGGACAGCTCCAAGGACTAAGACACAGGTGTTGTGGTTTCAGTAAGCTTCAGATACTGTGGTGTTGGTGCCAAATCAGCTTAAGTAGGCTGTGTTGAAAGGGGTAGTGTCTAGCACAAGGGCAAAGCTGGCTTTGCTCTGCTTGCATTTCTCAGCTTTTTAACAGTAAAAATGAAGGAATAAACTGAAAATCATGTCTTAGAACAAAGCTACAGATGCTATGGACTTTCAGTCTAAAGAAGAATAGACAAAACATTTTAAAGGGAGAGGTAAGAGACTTAAGACTCTAAGAGAGAGCAAAGGAGCAACAGTAAAATAAGGATGAAAATGATACAATTTTCAGCCCAGGGCAAGACTTTCTAAGTAGGTGAAGCTGTGCACAGCCAGATGAGAATCCTAGAGGACAGGAATTCCCTGTCTCTGGAGGAATTAACAAATCTGCGATGTCCTTGCAGGAACTGAAGCAGTGGACACATGAAACACCTGCTGACTCCCCCATCCTTGTGCCCTCACACCAAGATGCTAAACAAATGCTGAGTAAAAAGCTCAAGGCTTCACTTGCTACAGTGTTCTGTAGTTGACAGAGTCTTGTATTATGCGGAGGTGTAGCAACAAGACTTTTCTGCTACCTGAGAAACTTGGAATGAGTATAAACATCTTTTTAAACCAACCTTCAGGTTAACATGTATCGTCTAGACAGTAGATGCAGTTGTGTATAACATGCCAGTGCAGCACCCTAAGTTTGTTTTTTTAAAAAGATTTATTTCATACAATATACACAGTTTTATAATTTTGCTTAGTAAAATTTTCACACTTTGGGTTCCAACAACTTCACCAAAGTTGAACTTGGGAGAGAAGCACAATTCAGTACCTAGCTCTAAAAGGGAGAATCCTGTAAGGATGGATCCCATTTTTCCAATTTCTTCTTCTAAGTAATGTTTTGTATATGGAAAAGAACAGAACGTACAGTTGTTACTTGATGAGAATCCTACTTAAGAACTTGGGAGAATACCATTCCCTAAATTAATAGGGCCCTTTCTTGTTTGAAGAATCATACTTCAGTATTCTTGATTACCCTCCTGAGAACAAGTATAGATTAGTACAGCCAATTTTTATTTTTCTACTGCCTCTATGTTAAAAATATTTGCAATATAATAGTTCAGGGTATTTCACAGTAAATAGTTTCAGTCATTTTCAACCATGAGTGAGGCAGACTCTTCAAAAGTTTTAGAATCCATTCAAGCTGTCAGCATCATCCACACACTAAAAGCAGGCAAATAAGACCGTAAATATATTTGTCAATCCGTGGAATCTACTAATAGCATACCGATATCAGCTGGATACATGGTAACTTTAGGCAAGTACTCAAAAGAGGCAGCCATATGCTTGTGAGCTGTGGCTGTTTTTCACAGTGAGAATCAGCCAGTCATATCCTGTCCCGTTGTTTACTTTGGATCTGTGCCTTCTCTCCAAGAGGCCAGAGCCTAGGTCATAATCCCACGTTGAAAGCAGGCTGTATTCCAGTCTGCCCACTCCCACTCTTGATATCTGTCTGGCAGAGAACATACCTGGAGATGATTTTGTGAAAAGTATAGCGGAAATCTCGGTTCCTGTAAGCATAAACAATGGGATTGACAACTGAATTGGCATGTGACAAGAGAATGGCTGTGTTCATTGCCCACTTGGGCTTATCCTTAGCTAGAGATGGCTGAAAAAGAGTGACACAGTTGATAGCATGTACTGGAAGCCAGCACAGAGCAAAAATCCCCATGATCATAGCCAGTGACTTGGCCGCGTGGATCTCCCGCTGGAGGGTGGTCCTCGAGTGGTGCATCAGCTCAGTACGCTGAAGCTGCCTGCAGGCCACCATGAAGATCTTGATGTAGATCACCAGCATTATGAGCAGTGGGGGCAGGACACACCCAAAGAAATTGAAATACACCATGTAGCTCATGGGGACCACATTCTCAAAGAGACACTTCACAAGGCAGCAGCTTTCGTTTGTGGCTCCATCCCAGGGCTCTGTGCAGTTGTTGGTGGCACTGTCTTTACTGTTCCACCCCAGGAATGGGGTCAGTCCAATGCCAAAGGCAAGGACCCACAGGACAGCAATGACCCCTCTTGCTCGGCTCCCAGTGACCAAACTTTTATACCTGTTCAAAAGAGTATCATTTGTTATGGTCAGTTTATGGCACTCTGCAACCAAGGCCCAGAAGCCCACTTCGGCTTTTGTTATGCCCTAACATCCTCTAAGGTTTGCCTTCCAGGGCACTGTGGCATTACCCTCAACACTAGAGACACACAGGGGTGAGCAACTTTGCTCTAACAAGCTCAGTAAATTTTCCTTAATCATGCTTTTCTGTTTAATGACAAAAGAGGTCAGCAGCAAGAGGTGAGATGTCTTGAAGGTTGGCTGATTGTCTCCGTACTGACCTTTGAGTCTAGGTCTTCGGTGAGGTGCTGTTCTAGCCAGTGAACAGAACAAACCAAAATCCCTGCTAAATGCTAAGGGACCTACATTCTAGTGAGGGAAATACAATTAACAAACTTAAACAGCAGTGGAGATGCATGTGGTATGAAAGAAAGTAAAGGAAGATCAGGACTGGCAGGGATCATAAAGAAGCTGGTCAAGAGAAGCTTCATTGATAAAGTGACATTTGAACACAGGCCTGATAAAATATGTTTTAGAGCCCCTGGAGCCATGCAGCACACTCCTGCAGCTCTGGGCAAGAATCCTTTTCTTTTTCCGCAGATAAACTATGAAGTTTGCTTTCCAGTATGGGCAGAATCGTTTCTGAGTATCTCTACAAACTGCTGGGGGACAAAACTTCTGGCCATTCCCCTGTCTGTAGGGAACTGCTAACAGCATAGTTGATAAAACTGGGAAATAAATATTAATAAGTGGCCCATAATATGTATTGTAATTTATAAATCAGTACATTCAATATAGTGTATTAAGTAAATTAAATAAAATCTTTCAGTAACCTCTATCAGAAAAACTAGAAAATACCAATTCACAGTACTTCAGAGTTATCTGTGGAAAGTGTCCATTTTCCTTTGCCTGCAGCATAAACCTTGAAATTCTAAGCGTGGCCCACGGAGCCCTCCAGACCTTAGTGCCACATACACAGCGCCTGCGTTTCCTAACCGATGACTCCCTTCCAGGTCATGCTGCCCTTAACTCAGCCAGTCGAAACACCTGTTCCTTCTTCAAGGGTCACCTCCTAGGCAGAGCATACCCTTTCAAACATATACTGGTCATAAAGCTGAACCTAACTGGAATGCCAACCCCTGAGGACTGGGGCCATGTCCCTTTGTATTCGTATCCCCAAGATCTAGCACAGTGCCTGGTACACAATAGGTTCTGGATAGTATGGCCACTACTGACACAATTCTCACTTGTTACCTGACTTAGCAAACAGCTTGAAAGCAAGATTTTACTTACTGGGAGTACCTGATGCTCTGATCTCAACATGCAAGAGAACTTTGCTGAGGTCTTGCCTCAGAATTTACAGTGATCTCTAATCTTTTCTGCTCCCTATGAGGGCATCTCTGAACAACAGGAAACTCAGTTGGAGGCCTACTGGGCTCAGTTGCTCACTCAGTTTTTTCCTGGCCAATAAATCCATCTATTTCCAAACATATTTTGTTTCCCTTCTTATTTGGGAATGTAAAGCCTTTCTTTAAAAAAAAATGTTTTTCCCTACCACTGCCTCACCAGAGAAGTGAGTAACCCAGTTAGCTCCTGGGGAATAACAAAGAAGCCTCCCAAAGGCCACGCACTGAGAATCCAGGTCCATAAGGCAGCCTGCGTCCCAGCCCTACCCTTCACAGGACTCCACTGTTGAGCACAGCTGATTATAGGTCACCCCTAGTGGATAGATTCTTCATTTGTGAAATAAGAGGACTGGACTGGAAAGACTCTTGCTGGTGATTGGTGGTGGGTAGATGGTAAAATGGTTCTGATCAACAAACGACATGAAGACTGCTAAGGGACCTCAAGGAAAGAGTCTATTTCTTAACCAAAGGAAAGAGATCCACAAAGAGAGCTTTGTCCTCAGGCCTATCCTCTTCTGCTTTTGATGCTCTTGTGGGGAGGCTGTGATGCCCAGAACTGTAGCAGCCATCTTGTGACCATGAGGGAAAAGCCTGAAAATACAGCCAGTGGCAAATCAGAAGGAAAAAGGAGCTCAGATCCTTTAAGACATCTTTGAACAACTAGCCCAACCTCAGAAACATCATGGCTCCAAATACTTGTTCAAGAGATAAATGTCCTGATTTCTTATACCACTATAAGGTACTCTGTTACCTACAGCCCAAAGCATGCATTCTGGAAAGGATTTTTCATCTCTTCGAACACAACTCCTCTTATTTCACACATGAAGAAACAGAGACACAGAGTCTGTAAAAAGCCAATACAAACCAAAGATAAGAAAGTAAGTCAGGACTCCCATGCCTGTGTTCCCTGCACTGTATCATGCTCCCTTTTATTTTACTTTAAAGAAATAAAAGGAATATTATATATGGAATAACAGAGTGATCATGGAGCCAGCTTCCCACTACTTCTATGGGAAGAATCTACCTACATCTAAACTTTTCCAAACTGCCACATCTGGCATGTGTATATAACTTTTTATGGCAAATTGTCTTACATAAGGAAAGAAAAACAGCCGATTCCATCAGAGAAGCAGCTGACCACGGCTTTCTCTGTGGATTCCCATCGCCACCTGCGCTGGTCATTATTTCAAAGAGTTCGTCCTTTGCACCACACATTCTGTGGGTACTGGAAACTCAATCCCTGCCCTCAGAGAATATAGGCTAATGGAAGAGACAAGTGAGCACACAAA